ATGGGCTAGTGGCTGTGAGAGTATCAATTTCTACACTATTCATGAGTATGCCGAACAAGGACTGGTGGCCCCATAAGCAACACCCTTTACCTAGAATGTTGGCCCATTGATCTTTAAGAATTTGTTTGGATGGAGAGGAATTGAGAGAATTAATTTTTTTTTTATTTATAATAAAAAAAAAATTGAAGGGATGGAAGAAATATTTATTTATTTTTTTTTCCCTTTCATTTCCTCCATCCATTTAGGAATAATTTATATTTTTGTTCTTATTCCCTCCATTTCTTTTAATCCAAACAAGGTCTAACTATACTAATCTTGAGTTAAGGGGGCCCAAATCATGATTTAAGCACTAACTTAGATATTCAATAGCTAAAATAACTTAATTTCTTCGTATATTTTTAAAAAATAAAAGTAAAGTGTACAAAAACCTTTGGAAAATCACACTTTTTCTTTTACTTTTTATTAGATATATAATCGGAATCTCTTAACTTTATTAAATTAGCTAAAAAATTTCCCTCTTTTATATAAAAAAAGTATAAAAAGTATAAAAAGTATGCAGCTTCAGTGATTAGCTGAACACTCCTCTGTGTAATAATCATTCATTCTTCAATAAGGACGACCGTGCTAGTACTAGCGGTGCTTGATGAGCTACTACTGGCTTGTTGCTGCGGTAGCGCCTCAGATGATCCATTCTGTTGATCATCCAAGGCATTAGAGGCTGTATTATTGTTTGTACCATTATGGTGAGGCAGTTGAGGCAGGCTGCTTGGTACCGGATCATTTTGCAGTATGGTGGTAGTAGGGAGGACAGAACATCTACAAAGAGGGCACGTTAAGTTCGAGCACAGCCAATGATGTATGCAGTCACCATGAAACACATGTTTGCAAGATGGGATTTGGAGTAGCTGCTCTTTGAGCTCAAATTCACCCAAGCAAACACAACAACTAAAGAAAAAAAAATGTCACTGGGTTAGTTTAATCTGGCTAAAATCAACATTTATAGTTTGTTTTTATTTTATTTCATTTTATTTGATATAGATGCTTTAATGACATGACTTAAATTAATGAAGATCTTGATTAAAGGTTCAGGCTGAGGCCTAGGGAAGATCCAAGTTTGAATTCCAAACGAAATAAATTTTTATCAGCACAAACTCTTCATAAGAAAAAAGGCAAAAGCCCATAATCAATGCATCCTTGATAGATCGTTCAAAAAATTTCAGAATCAAATACTTGTAATAATTTAATGAGAAAACACTTCACCATTATTCGCTAAACCTAATTTGACATGGACGGTCCAAAATTTTGTGGAATCAAAAAATGATTGTAACATAAACGAATAATATCAATGTGTGGAGGAAAGAATTGAGAGAAACGTATTATCTGAAAATGTCTCATATGTGGGGACATATATGAATTTAAAAGAATTTACTAGTGGCCAAAAGGAAGCCTATTTTTTCTTTGGTACACAAAGGAAGTCTACATGTGAGAACTATAATTTCTGTGTCCTTAATTAAAGTTTTACTTGACTTAGAACTTGTCCCTTGAATCAGCCCTTCTAATTTTCCTCCTCCAAGAATGCCACCTTTCATGTGAATCATGAAGTGTCCGGCTTTCAGAACTTTATATTATCTCTAGTCAAAAGCATTCTGAAATTTGACGAAAATGGTAAGAAGGAGAAAAGGGGGCCCGGGGAAACAGCTGATAAAGTGAAGCAGGAAATAGTTGTATTCTGCCTTGGCACCAAGGACAGTTGGATTTTAGGGCACAGATGATAAAGAGTTTTAAGAAATGGTCAATTTTCAAAGGGTTCATTTCCTTCATATTATTATCTGCCATAAAAATTTCCCAACTTGATGATTGTGATGTATAGCACTATATGACCATTAGAGCACATGTTGTGGGGCACTTTTATTTCTAAACCACATCATGCCTATAACTTTTAATTATAGGGTTATATGATACAGACTCTTCACTTTATTTTTCATGTTAAGCACTTTTCAGATGTTTCAAAAATAAAAGTAAAACCTAAAAGATATTAAACCTTGTTCCAAATGAGTCAAATGACCCATCTAGCATGTATATCTTTGTCGTAATAGTTGAGAAATATATACATCAAAAGGGAAATTAAGGAGTAATAAATATGGTGACTTACAGTGCATCCCTTGCCCTTAGTTCTTCATCAAACAAGACTGTGGGCAGCTTGTC